GTGTAAAATGAGCGTAAAACTTGTGACTTAGAAAATCATTACATACTGTTTGCTTTCTCACAACCTTTCATAGAGGAGATGGTCACTTGTTTGGGTGATACCAAACCAAGTGCACACCAAATAAGTAGTTTGGGCTCTAGGAGATTTGAGTATTGACTTTGCCTGTTTATACAGTACCGGTAAAAATATATGACATGTGTTTTTATTCAGGTCTTTTGACTGGTACTGTATATTAGGAAATTAAATGTAAGGCTAATTATGTATTTCTGTATCAATATTTTGTGGATATAGAGGTTAAATGTCTTTTTTTTTTCTTCAATTATTTAAATTTAGAAAGCTACTGCGATCCCATCCAAGAAAGCGGAGTACTTTGATGCATCCGAGCCAGTCCAAAACCGGGTTTTCAAGTCTTTGAAGGTCTGGTCCATGCTGGCAGACTTGGAGGAGAGTCTTGGCACTTTCCAGGTAAGTTTACTACATGTTGGTATGTTTACAGCTGGTTGTACTACATATATGAGACGGTGTACAGAAGATAATCATTACATGATATCTGAGCTCCCAGATATTTAATATTGCGTAATATTGAGTTCTGATCCACTGTGTGCTTTTGCAATTCCTAACTCTGAGTGTTTTATGTTCTTTTTTCTATTCAGTCCACCAAAGCAGTTTACGATCGCATAATTGACCTCCGCATCGCCACGCCACAGATCATCATCAATTACGCCATGTTCCTTGAAGAGCACAACTACTTTGAGGAAAGCTTCAAGGTAATACCATTCCATTAATTGACAAATCCAATATTATCAAAATTAATTCATTATTAATATTTTTTTTCACTCTCTTTTCCGATACCTCTTTAGGCATATGAGCGTGGTATCGCTCTCTTCAGGTGGCCAAATGTTTATGACATCTGGAACACTTACCTCACCAAGTTCATTGATCGTTATGGGGGCAAGAAGCTGGAGAGAGCAAGAGATCTGTTTGAACAAGCTCTGGATGGCTGCCCAGCTAAGTTTGCCAAGAGTAAGTACCTTTTTGTTAGCATTACATTGACAACTTGTGTACAGTACATTGCTCATTGTTTCTATTTTTGCTTTATAAAATGTGCTGTAGCTGAACGTAGCACTGTGCCTTGCTTTCCAGCCATTTACCTGTTGTATGCTAAATTGGAGGAGGGATATGGATTGGCGCGACACGCCATGGCTGTCTATGAACGAGCAACGCAAGCCGTAGATACTGCGGAGAGACATCACATGTTCAATATCTACATCAAGAGAGCAGCTGAAATCTATGGAGTCACGTATACCAGAGCCATTTACCAGAAAGCTATCGAGGTATGTGTGAAAAGCACTGATACAAGTGACAACTTGTGGTATTAAAGTTATTTTTTCTGTTGAAGCCAAAGACCCGTGTGTAGCATTTAGGATAATCTACCGAAATGTGATCGAACAATAATGATGTTTTCCTAGTATAATAGGGTGAAATTAGGATCTTTTTGTTTCGGCTACCATAGAATGAGGTGTTTATATCTACGTAGATTGGTGTACTTTTAGATTGTTATCAATGCATTATAAAAAAAAATCCTTTTACTAATTCTGACTCAAATATGATGTTGTAATCTGAATCATACCATTTCTTTCTACCCAGGTACTTCCTGATGAGCACGCACGAGATATGTGTCAGCGATTTGCTGACATGGAGAGTAAGCTTGGTGAGATCGACCGGGCCAGAGCAATCTACTCCTACTGCTCGCAGATTTGCGACCCACGGGTGAGATACAACAACTGAATAAATAATAATTAAATTTCCATTGGTGGTGTGGATGTCATAAATCACCGTGATATATATATGTAAACTGGGGTCTTTCAGGTGACTGCAAATTTCTGGCAGACCTGGAAAGAATTTGAGATCCGCCATGGAAACGAGGACACGATTAGAGAAATGCTGAGGATCAAACGAAGTGTCCAAGCCACATACAACACGCAGGTCCACTTCATGTCCTCTCAGATGATGAAGGCGACAACAGGCACTGGTGAGGGAGTTAGCACCAACGTGTTTGCCATGAACTGTCTAGTAAATACAGAACATTGTCTCATAATATTGATATGCTAGCCACGCATGCCCTTTTCCCCAAATCCTGGGTTTATGCCTGAGAAAAGCACACAAATGAATGTACCTGTACTAATGATTCTGTTTGTCCAACAATTTATTTTGTATCCAGTGTCCGATCTTGCTGCAGGTGGGATGGGAATTGATGACATGAAGATGCTGGAGCAGAAGGCACAGCTGCTTGCCGCGGAGGCGGAGCAAGACAAACCCAAGCCCAAAGAGAAGATTCTCTTTGTCAGGTAAAAGGAAAACCCCTGCTTTTTAAAATGCCATCGTACACACTCTGCAACCTAAATGGAGACTTTGGAATCTTACACGCTACATGTGTATTTGCAGGAGTGACACCTCTCGCAGCGAGTTGGCTGAGCTTTCTAAACAAGCCAATCCTGATGAGATTGACATTGATGATGAAGACGATGAAGATGAGGAGAACCAGGGACCAGAAGGTAAGTGACGGACAGTTGAAAAAGTCTCATGCAGATGTGTTGTGTTCATGAACATGCATTTGTAAATTGTTTTTTTTCATCCCTGCCTTTTGCAGAGGTGCAGCTTGAACAGAAGAGCGTCCCTACAGCCGTCTTTGGGGGGCTTAAAGAAGACTAAAGATACCTTCCTCGCTGCCCCAGCTTTACAAAGATCTTCTGATTTCACTTGTTGACACTGAATATGCTCTATATTTTCCCATTTGTTTAATTACATAGTTGTATCATTTTAGAAAGGCAACATTTTTGGCTTTTTTTTTCCCCATTCTTGTGGGTTTTTGTAATGCAGTACACAAAAACATAAACTTGTATGACTTTTGGCCATATGGTGTCAGTCTTTCTCAAGTATAAAGCGCAAGATGATTGTGCAAATGTGCTGTCTTCTGTTACGAATTACTAATACGTGGCTACGTGTTAATTTTAATTGACGTATAGTGACGTTTTTATCTTTGAAAAACAGTAAAAGAATCAACAGCAGAAACTTTTGGACACCTAATATATGCAGACTTCTTTTACAGGAAGCTCTGCCCTTGAAAACAAAGGGGAGAAGCTTTTGGGCTTTTTCTTTTTTCAACGTGAGGCATTCATTTGAAAGTGAAGCTGCGCATTCAAGCCTCACGTTGTTTTGAGGATCATTACTAGGTGGACATCTTGCAAAACCCAGTGATCCTTTAAAAGATTTCCAATATTGCCTTCAAAAGTTCACCATACAAATATATTGAAGTCATGCTCTGGTTGTACATGTATTGTACAAATTCACTCAAGGAACGGCTCGTATAACTGAATTTAATAATATGAGGCTCATAAAACCGATACAACTTATTTTTCTAAAGCCCTGCAGTGAGTTCCTAATACCCAGTTTTTGTCATAGGTTCGGGAGTCTTATTTCCCACTGATCATTTTAGAAGCTGTATTAATGCTGTAATGTCTCTCAGTCAGTGGTCTGCTCGTGACCCAATGCAGTGTTGAGAGTTTGGTCTCAAAAGTTTCTTCTATTGCCACTGCAATCGTGAATAACGCACCAGCAATTCTAACTGACATGCCGGCATTGGATGTCCGAACATTTATTTACATGTCTGAAAATGTGCAGTTTTAAATAAAAATGGATTCATATCTGTGCAACGCAGTGACTTTCATCTGACAGATAATTTCAGAAAGTCTCATTCAGTGGATGCCTTAGAAAAGTTCTGTATTCAGACACTACTGATGGACGGTGGAGGTGCTCCAATAATAGTGCGATGAGTCTTTTAAAGATTGAATATGATGTACCTTTCACTTCAATATATAATGCCAAAGGCCTCATGCTTCATCCTAACAAAGGTTAAACAAAAATAAGGGATAAATAGTTTCTTTCATAATCAGATTGAGATTGCTGAGGTAATCCTTGTAGCACGGCACTGGGTGCTCTCGGCACCCGTGATTAGGATCTGTTAAGATTTCTCTTTTTCAATGGAATGGGGCTTCAAATTTGATTGGAAATTCACACATCTAGGGCAAATTAAACCGTTTTCCCAACACAATTTCCATTTTGTCTTGCTGAATGGATTTACACTCTTGTATTGACTGTGTGCCTCCCATTTCAGCTTTTCCGTTTACACGGCACGCTGCCTTTACACTTTTACAGTGCAGCAAAGGAGTAGGTAAAGTTTTTTGTTTTTTTACATTGCTGCTGATCTATAACTATTATTGAATTAGGGCTGCAATGGTTATGGTGGTCTCTTAACTATGCATCCCATCAAGAGCTGTTCCATACACCTGAGAGCACACTGTGGGGTCATATTCCTCTGGTTTACACATGCACATGGAAGTCATTGAGATAGCAAGGTTTCATAATACGCGTCAGTGAGCTCGGGTCATACTTTCTCTTTTTGTTTTTGTGTCTGCCAGAGGTCGTGGTCATTTACAGCATCACCCCTGAGGCTGACAGAGTTTGCCCAGGTCACGGCACCAAGGGGGAAGTGTCATGGTGCCAGAGTCATCCCTCTGAGACCATAATAACCATAATGGCAGTGACCTACGTTTTAGTTTTTTTCATGGAGATACCTTTTTTTGTGTTTCTACATCCAACCAAACGCAACACCTTTTAAAAATCAGGCATAATTAGGTAGTACAGGTTAAGGTTAAAGGCCCTGCACACGCGTGTTAGCAGTTGTGTTTACTCATGTACAATTCGGAATCCAGAACTTCACCTTCTTTAACTTAAGGGATGGATTTGAAAGTGTTTTTATTTCTAAAGATATGCGTATAACTAGGCGGTGCCAGCAGGTGTTCACCTGATTGGGTCTGCCAGCTGATGAACCGGTAGCAAAAGTCACACCAACACCTGCAGCCCGTGTTCACCCAGGAAGATCCCGCCCCCATTGCTCAAGCTCTTTTCCTATTGGACGGGGAGATGAGTGAGTGGTGCCGGTGTGGAGCACCTGGTAGTCAGTCATCGCCCGGACTCGGTGGAGCTGCGCATCGTTACGGAGCGCACAGTAATGCGGACGAAGAAGGGCAAAAACGAGGGGAACAGTCCGTTTTTCCGCTAACGTCCCGGCGGATCGGGCCTTTGCGCGGTCGCGCAGGATGATTTAACGGGGATTACGTCTACGACACCGCACAGGGGGGAGAAAACAGGGGCAATTCACTGCCTTGGAATCAGCTCCGTGGCGGATATTTCCCCGACAAAACCGTAACCCATATTTGTATTCCCAGTTCCAAACGCGTGGAATAGTCCGCTAAAAAAAACGATGATTCCTTGAACATCGCTTTCTGTTTTTTTTTGTTGTTGTTTTTTTGTGGTCGCAAACTCGCCATGGTGGACTCCCCTACCGCGAGAAAGACTTTAGTGGTCCCAGACATCAAGCCGTCGGATGCATATGATCGTACTCGAGCAAAGATATGCGCAAGTGTCGGATGGCTGTTGGCGAAGTCCTACGGCGGTGCAGGTAGGTTCCGTCCCAACATCATTCACCCAAGTCCCGCAAAGCGAATCTCTTTTATCTGCTCGGCGGCGCGGCGCAATGTAGGGAAACTAACTACACGTTGTGTGTGTGTGTGTGTGTGTGTGTGTGTGTGTGTGTGTGTTTGTGTAGCTCAGCGATTTTTTTCCCCCCCTGCACAAAGAGACGCAGATGAAAGGAGCAGCACGCACGCTACGCATGTGTGTGACTGACACATGTCATTTGTTCTCAGTGGTCACATTTCGTCGGTGCACTAGAGGAGCGGGCCTCCTCCCCGGGCCTTATCACGTTATTCCATTCCGCCGTGTTTTAACCGCCACGCTTCACGCACATATTTGGGGGTTTACTGGCTGTGTGTGTGTGTGTGTGTGTTTTTAATGCGGTTTGTATGTCACACACGGGGCGTGGAGGAAGACTCACCGGCTTCTGGAGCCATTCGGGATCAAATAACTGTGCAAATAGCTCATTGTTCACTTAGTGAAAAGAGGTAAATACCTGAGCAATTCGTCAGCGAGTTCCTTATATTCTCCTTCGACAAAACAGCCACTAATGTAAAAAAAAAACCCACCCACCTAAGATATGAGTTGTGTCGCGTGGATCACGCGTGTCATACGACTTCGATTTGTCTCTTTTCTAGAGACAACGAGTAGAACAGCGCCAGCTTTTGACCCTGAGGTGATAAGAAGTCTCTTTTTTTCTAAAAGCACTATCTGGTACAGATTAGCTCCCCCAAAGAAAACACACAAATATGTATGCTGCTTTCATTTGGAGCACACACACAGAAGTCTAATAATTGTCTTGGACTGTTTTTCCCCTTAAGTACTAAAATGACAGGAGACATGAGGTAACCACACATTGTTGTTCCTGGGATGTGCATGTAGAAAAAAACCCTGCAACCATCTCTGCTAGAGGGATGTGTGAGGTTTAGACTTCTTTTACCTTAACGACATGATTTACACAATCCCAGGCCGGTCCAGTTTCCAGGACTACCGCACTGCTGTGTTTAGCAACTAAGCCCCGCCCCCTGGTCAACGTCACGCTCTGTGCTGAGATGCAAGAACCCGAGGAGCATTTCTGCAAAGTCAAGGTGACATCTTCTACTCCCCGAAAACTCCGCTGGGTAGAAAAGAACGGATAGCACAGCAGGAGCCAGATGGGGGGTGGGGGGAGGGTCATCTGGTCCTCAGCTCTTCCAGGTCAATTCACCCCAATGATAACAATAGGCAGCGTTTTTAATCTGAGTCTTTATGATACAAGATGCAGTTTCACGTGCACGGAACACAGTCTGTATCTCATATCTTTATTTAGATATAGAGGAATACAAAGGTGAAACAGTAGTTTTTAATGAGAACTTGTAAGCGCTGAATTATGTAAAAACCTAAATAAAATAAAATAAAATAAAATGATATCTAGGGTTTATATAGGTTGCCCTACAATGAATCCATGTGCAATCACGATAATCTAAAAGCTGCTTATAGGCTTGGACTGAGATGCCTGCGCTAGCATGAACCCAACCGAATTTAGAGGATTTTATACATTTTACGACTTGCGTTGTAGATATTTGGCTGCTCACTAGCTGACCATGAGACAGACAATGATCTTCTGTCATAACGTGACAAAAGTATTTATATATAATTTTTTCCATCAAGGTGAATGGAAGGTTGGGCAAGGTTAAAATTCCTGATCTGCTCTTGTTGTTGTAACAGATGACTCATTTAAGGGAGAATTAAACTACTTTGTAACTTTGGAATGCGACCAGGAACCCGTTATTCTGTGTGTAGGCGTGTCAGAGGCTAATTCTCACATGTTTCTGCCAATTCATCTTTCCGCCTGGCAATGCTTTTTAATGAATCCGTTAAATTAATTATCACGGCTCTCCGCTCAGGTGTTTTTGGTCGTTGGCCTCTGTCATCCTCTCCTAATCTTTTATTTTGCAAGTGGCAGGGAAACCAGACCGCTTTATACCTGCGTGTTTCAAAACGTGCTTATTTCACCTGATAACTCCACCTAGCTACAAAGCCGCTCGGATCGCACTGAAAGCCTGCAGGAATTCTACTCGCCCTCTTCTTGTAACTACGGTGAGTCAACAAGGGACAAGGACCTGAGGAGGATGTTTCCTTGCTTTTAGTGTTGACTCAAGATGTAGGAAATCCTATTGGTTCACTATATGACACTCTTCAAGACTGCTTGATGGAGTTGGAGGATTGACGTGTGTTCTCAAGATAATGTCATAATTAACTGAAAGAGGAGTTGTTTACCACAACAAATCTACAAAGATTTGGTTGGTAGTTGGTGTCTAACTTGAGGACACAGATGCATCCTGCACACTTTGTTCCTCTGTCATCCTACGTAGTCCTGTTAGTCCCTCAAGCACCCATAATGTAATCACAATCTCCGTCTAAACGATGTGCGTCTCTGGGCCTTGGCCCTCAAATGCAATTTCCAGCGACTGTTTCTAATGATCATACTAGAGTGCTCGCAGGGAGGATGTCGTGCAGGATACGCAGGGCTGCTGGGGGAAGTCCTATTCTCAACAAGCTGACCTGTGTATGCACAGGGAGCCGGGAGACGCTTCATGTGTACTGCTGGAGGTGCGCTTCTTCAAGTTAATTTCAGCGATTGACCAATATAATTAAATGGAGCTGTTTTGAATTTGAATCTTTAGGATATTCCTTCCATCCAGAAGATGAAAAATACCTCATCCCTTCCAGTCTTGTCCAAGATGTCTAAGCTGTATGCTTTATTTTAGGCATTGCCGCTCCACTGCTAACATGGCCCCTCTCGCTGCTTCCTTGATTTTGGGATCCTTTCCGCCACGTGGTGCGAGTTTGTTTGTTTGTCTATAGCTCAGTCCTCCTCGAAGGATTTCGAAGTCAACAGTAACGGTTGTGTCAAAACACTTAACGCTGAGTGAATCAATTTTATGAAGAGTTCTGCGGAAGTGGCAACGCAAGAAACAAAATAGTCACAAAATGGGATTCTTGATAGGGGAGGAATGCGTGCATGCACTAATGCCTAAAACAAGATGGGGGGTGGGGGGGTTGTGTATGGCTGATCTTAAACATCCTGTCTGTACGCTTCCACACTTCTGCATATCTGAGCTCTTATGAATAATTTAATGCGTGGTACTTTTCCTGAATGCTCCATTAAGCAGCCTGATGGTTTAGATGGTCGAATCCAGCAGGTTTTGCAACTAATAGAGGGGGGGGGGCTACTTAATGTTTACTGAAACGGCAAGCACCTCCTTACAATCCGATGCTGATTGTTTTCCGCTTTGATGTAAAATGATAAGGGATGTGAGGCGGGGTCTCGTCTAACCTTTTACCCAATGAGCTGTGGCTGACTGCCACTAACCTTCTGTGCAGATATGTTCGCTCTGTGACGTGACGTGACTAGCACGCTTCTCAGTCGGTCGATGAAGCGGAAGAGCACACGGCTCCTGTTATCAGCAGGCGATCAGGCAGCACCGGCCGACCTGTTCCAGCCACGATTGGCCTGTGTGCATTTTAATGGCTTGTGTTTGACAGTTTTACACACCTCTTCATCGCCGAACTGGTGCTGTTGTCTTACCGGTTGGTTTTGTCATTGTGGTGATGATAAACAATGTGGGGCTGCTGTAGAGAAATTCTCGGAAAACGGCCTCTCGAAGTGCTCGGCTACATTAAATCTTCTCAGTCTGCTCCCTTAAAGCGTCACTTTATGATGATGTAGCAACATGTTGTTAAACTTTGCCTTCTTGCTTCCAACAGACGATAAGCACGGACCCCGTGGTCCGTGAAAGTGACAGGCTTTTGGCTCCTGTTTGTTTACCCACAGTCATACAAGCTTGTGTTTTTAATCAAACTATTTCCCTGGACGTCTGTTTGTCGACATTATGAAGGCATCACAGAACCTATGGCCTTGGCTGGATAGGGCTTGTGGCTGCCATCGGGCCATTCTTTGTATTACCTTCTGTTTGTAGCAGTTATTTAACATAACTCTTATGTTTTCTTATGGTTTTCTATGTCCAGTTTTGGGAAATTGTCTATTTAACCTCATGTGTGTGTGTGTGTGACACTAGGTCTTTGTTCTCAGCTGGACTGTCTCATAGGGAAATCATGCTCATATCGATCTTTCTCGTCTCACTAAGTTGTGGCATTTGCATCCTGCTTTGCCTTCTGGAAAGTTTTTTTTTTTTCTTCTATACGTCATCGTTGGAAGGTGAAAGGTGTGCATTGCAGTGGGCGTGTCGGCGTTCAGCGATCAAGGTAAAGCGGGTATTGTTCTGCTGGAATCCAGGAGCTTTATTTACAATAAAATGGACCAGGTGGCATAAACACGGACAGATATAGTCATCGGTGTTTTGTTGCTGGAGGATTCAATACATCACTTTATAATGACACAACAACATGGTGCCACCTCCCTGGGAACCACCCCTTTGTTTTCTCAAAGACGCATTCGAAGGCGCATACGTTTCTATTTTCAGACAGGCAGCGTGTCGACTTTTTTTACATCAAGGCTTTTAACACTTATTCCAGCGTGTTTGCACAGACTGTTGAGTGTGCTTCTCTGGATTTACAGAAACCTGTTTCCCAGAGGGTGTGACCAGTGTAATGTTTTTACACCTGTTATCTTCAGAAAGACCAGTTTGAACAGATACTTTAAACATCTGCAGTTAGTTGCTAATAGTGAGTGCTACATTTTATTTAACTTTCATTTTCCTTCAGTTGAGGCAGCATTTGAGTTTACGCATTTAGGGTTAGTTTGTTAGGTTGTTTTAAAATAGTGGCAGAGCATCTTGTAATCTGCAGATGTCAACCTCTGAGCTCATCACTCCCCACTGACCTTGATGCTTACGCTGCTCGACTCACTCGTATGATTACAGCTCAAGGGTATTTTGTCTTAAGCGCCCCGGAAAACATGGCAGAAAGCAGGTTTCCATGTAATGAAAAACAGAACATGCTCAAGACTAATTCAAGACATCTCCCCCAACATATGTTTTATTTTGCAAGTTCTATTCAATCTCCACTGCGACTCTTATCTTGTGTGTGTTTTTGTTTTCCCTCCCGGTAGAGAGTGTCCCCGCAGAGCTCCGTGACCCCTTCTACTGTGACCAGTATGAGCAGGAGCACCTTAAACCGCCGGTCACGCGCCTCCTGCAGTCCTCGGAGCTCTACTGCCGGACGTACGGCCTGCTACTGGGAGGCGGCGGCGGCGGCGAGGCACAGCCCAAAGACAACGGCGCCCTGCTGCAGCTCCTCGCTGAGAGGGGCGTAGTCCCCAAAGACCAGGGCAAAGCGGCGACCGATGCAGACCTCCGACACAAACCCATCAAAATGGTAACGCTAGCAAAGCTGCTCCGGTCTGGCCTGTAATGTTGTCAAAGAAATGTTCCATTTGTCTATCGCCCTGAGCAGCGAATGTGTCCCCCTGTGGAACCGGATGCTCTGCTATCCAGGAGTCTGCAGGGGGGGTCGAGCGTGCTTGGTTGTTGATATAGTTGCCTGTTTATGCTTTTGATTCTATGGATTAGAGGACATCAAAAAAGACCCCACTCATGCAATCCTGCCCCCCCCGATGATCCCAGAGGATGAGTGGATCCAGCTGCCAAGACAAGGGGCAGTCATGATACAAGGGAGGACTCCTTTAATTTCAGCATGTGAAAAGGAGGGGAGGGGGGGGGGGCTCTCTGGCTTCAATAGACTACCCAGGTCCAGACAATGGCTGCATCATTCTCAGGAAATTCAAGAATCTGACTTGAGAGAGTACTCTGTACTCGCCCAGTGAGTCAAAGCCAGAGAAACTTGTTCGTCCTCTTTGCCTGTGACAATGGATCTCACTCTCACTCCCTTGTTTCTCTTTCTGACGCACTCCCAAAATATAGCACTGAATCCTCCTCCTGGAAAACTACGAGATAATGACGTGTATTTTCAAACTTGGGCTCTTCCCGGTCTGAAGGAGGAGGAAGGCTTTTTTGTTTGTTAGAACATATAATCTTTTTTCGCTCTAGCTAACGCAACAATGACTCATCGTAACTCAATTTGGAAGTGTTGATACGAAGCCTCCTCTTTATGCAGATTATTACCCTCCTCAGAACGTGTACAGGCTGCTGTCTTCCCTTAAAGCTACGCAGGGAGTCTGTTGTTGTTTTCAGGAGGAAGCTGTTTGCTCCACCTCTGCTGTAGCAGGTGCGGCTCTGCCGACGATGATTAGCTTAATTGTACGCTGGGAAACGTGTGCGTGTGTTTGGGACGTTTTCTAAACTAAATAACATAGAAATTGTGTGACCATTAACAATAAAGGATTGGTGATACGAGCACTTAGTTAATGCAATATGGTGTTACTGCTTCATCTAGTATAACAAAATGAAAGTAAAAACTCACGAATGTGTACTTTGGAACCACACGCAGTGTTTGTTTTGTACAGATAACGACACGGCAGAATCTGTTAAGGACAGAGTGGAGAAGATTTGAGCTTTATATATCTTTCTTACCCCTTTTTTTTCGCCTTATCGTGTACCTGATTCTAAGAAGTCCTTCTCTAACAATGTAGTCTCAATGTCTGTTTAAATTGTTGCTTGCTTGGCCTTGGGTTCCTCTGTGAGCCTGTGTGTCGCCTGCTGGCTCAGTAACTGCAGTGTGGCCGGCCAGGAAAGTGGGTCACGCTGCTGCAGCATTAGAAGGATGCAGCACCAATGTGGGTCTTGGCCAGCAAACGGTTTTTGAACAGCAGCAATCTGCTGCAACGCTGCTGTGTATTCCATCCTTCAAACATCCACGTCAAACCAAAGGAGAAGATGTATTGCAGGGGTGGGAAAAAGTATACGGAGTCCCGTTTGTCACTGACAAGTCGACGCTGCTGCCAGTTAATCTGCCAATGCCTTAAACTGTTGATGACATTTCACTTTGTTACTGATTCCTCACACATTATTTGTGGTTCATGGAGTGATCGAGATGCTGGAACTGGCTTCAGTTGCTGGACCAGTATTCGTGCAGAGCAGCGATGACCCTCTAAAGTACACGTTCTGTGGTCTGATCAATGAATGACAAAAAGAGACGTGTCAAGATGCAGACTTCTGCTGCACAATGAGGCGTTTGGGGTTTTTATCGCTGCTGGTCCTTGGAATTCCGTGTTAAATAGTTAGATTAGAACAAATTGCGACGGAAATGGTGTCAAGCATGTGATCTGGAACGAGGGAGGCGGCGGCACCATTTTTCTCTGAATTATAGGTAATTTGAAGAATGAGGTCACATCTAAAATTAATTTGACAAAATAAGCTCAAAGTCTAAATAGATTTACTTCTTTTTTGTATGCTATTGTTAACCATATATCTCTAGAATTTAAATTTAGCTATAAACATGAAGGTCTAAAAGTAACAGTATAACATTTATAGGTTAATGTGAAGCATCTTATGATGTATGCCATTCTGGGTTTATTACGTGGTGATTTCTAAAGGCACGCCGGACATTAAAAAAAAGGTACCGGCAATAATAGCAATGTTATATACCATTGACGTTATCTTGTTATCGTTTCCACAAAACCCCAGAAAATTTATACTTAACTAAATCTATATACTTATATTTTCTTAATTCAATTCAAAAGTTTTGATGCATCCTGTAAATGTAGTAAATGGCACTTCCCCTGCAACCTAAACAAGGCGCTGAGTCTTTACAGCCTGGGCCTGTGATAAACGTGGCGCTTGGAAGGTTGCACATTCTTGGGGCTAAACAGAGGAACCTAGCTGCTTAGCCTTCATCCCCTACTTGCTGTGTGTAATTGTGCGTGTGTGTGTGTGTAGTACTGGTAACTGTCCTTCTGGTGGTGGCCCAGATTAGAGATAATCTCCCATGCAGACTGAACGTCATCATCCACGACTGGCTGACACGCCAGAGATGACCACGCTGCACCTACAATGTCCCACAACATCAAACAGATTTGTTACAATTATTCTTTGTGTAGACACTGGAACATAATCCTCATTATCCATTATGTTTAGCGATGGGGTTAAGTATTTCTTCCCAAAATCACAATCACTCGCTAACCCTCTTCGCAGTCCCTTGTTGGTTTCAGAAAGGCGCTGACACTTTGCCTTAAATAATACTGCTGTGTTGGCAGGTTTCTGGTCAAATGAGCATCAGTCAGGAGCTTAGTTGTAAATAGAAGTGGTTTTCTATCATTTTACACAATTTGCTCTGCTTTGGGCCTTCAATGATTAGAAGCTAATGGTAGCAATTAAATGTATCTACTGTTAAACATGCTTTGGGGGGGGGGGGCTATTCCAGACTGGTTGTTCTTGCTTAACTGTGTGTGTGTGTGTGTGTGTGTGTGTGTGTGTGTGTGTGTAAGCATGTGCTGTGAGATAACTTTCTGTCTGAGATCCCCTGAGGGGCCCCAGACCCGGCTGATCCTCCGCCCCCCCGTTTGTCTCGCCCTTGGTCGGCAGTCAAGGAGGGGGGGGGGGGGGGGGGGGGGTTGTTTGGGTTTAATACATATTTCAGACAAAATACAGGATTTTCCCCCCACAAAAACTCGTTTTAAAGAGCGCGGGAGGGCTTTTCCTTTTTTGTCCACCGGGTTGTTTGTTGACCCAATATATCAAGCTTATTTTTCCCCAGGGGCCGCTAAAGATGTTACGCTTATGGGTTTTATTGAAGGGGGGGTATATAACTTTTTTTTTCTCCCTCTGCTGCGTTGTTCGGGTGGATTTTTCAGAGCAGAGGGCCGGTGCTCAGCCAGGGGCACCGAGCAGAGCGTCGGTCAGGCTTGTGTTGAGATGCATTGTGGGTCAGCTGGTTGGTTGCTATGGCGATCTGGCAGTCTCCATGCAGGGTGTTCATGAGTTGCTCCTCTCTCCCCGCTCATTAGGGAGACTTGTGATTTAGCTTAGCGAGCTCTCCTGGGTCTGCAGTGAGAAATCCACTAGCTCCTCCCCCTTCTTCCCGTTTCATTCTGCACCTTATGTCACCACTCGCCCTCTACTCTGAATAACGGTATGACCACAGGGTGGCTGGCTAGGTTTGTCATTCTTTCTTTGTTCCTTTCCATCAATTCCCCCTCACTGTCATCCTGTCTCCCTTCACGCTTTTACAACAGCTCCAACCTACGATTACACTTTGTGGCCAGATGTCAAAATATGAGACATTAAATTACAGCGACTGGCTCAATTCTTTTGTTCTCACTACTGCCTTTTTTAGAGAGGAAATCATGTTGGCTTTTGATTGACTCAATTTAATTTATAGGTTGTATAATTGTGTTGTAGTTTGCTTGAACTGAACTGTATTAAGGAGTATAATCTAATGTTTTGCCCTTCCAAACATTGGACAAACAACTCTTGTAAAAAGTTGAGTTAGCATCTCTTATCTCTTATCAATATTGTAATTTGGAAAAAAGAACATGCATTTTCTTCTGTTTGCATCAGAAAAAAAGTGACTGTAAATTTGTGAGTAATATGATGATCAAAATCAATGGAAGTTGATTGTGTTATCTTGTATGTGCCACTCCCTACTGTGTTTAGTGATCTATGTGAGCATGCTGTCAGATCTGAGTAGCCTCAGTCGCGATAGCAGTTTGTCGTCCCCCTTCTGAACTGCAGACATTTCCTCTGAGCAGCAGCAGCCCAAATTGTGGCAACTCATTTGGGCGGGCAGGCCAGCAGTGACTGACTGCAGCACGTCCAGAGAGTTTGGGCCAATGCTGTCTGACAAGCCTTTGCTGGCATAGCCCAGCCTGCCGCAGCACTGGGTCTGCCCCGGTCAGCACTTCATATCAGGGTTCAGTAGGCAGACGTGGGCTCATGCACGCAAAGCCGGACTGCCACTAGCCCCTATCTGGGGCAACATAAGAGGCTAACGGAAGAATGTCTGGCCTCTAAAGTGGAATTTGTAAGTAGTAAAAAGGGACCAGGCACTGATTTGCACAGATTAGGCTCAAAACTGAATGTGGGAGATTGAAGGAGTGGCCCCATGACAGGAATGTGTTGTTTTCGACCGGCCCGGCCTTTCGTTGACCAGAATTGCACATCGTAACAAGGTGCAATTAGCCAATGGACAAAAATAGAAAGATCATGATTTTAAATGATCTTTCTATTTACGGAGTTGTAATGGAAGAAGCTGTAGTCCTGGCTGAACCCTGGTCCTGTTGAGGCCTCTAAAATAGGAAAAGTTTATTTACCAGCTACAGTGATTATTTTGATAATTTCAAAACACAAAAAGGGATAACTGGAAAAATTAAATGAGGTAGTCGATGGGGCATAAACCTCCTCTATGAACTAAAAGTACTTAAAATAGTTCTAATTGTTTACAACAGTCCGGAGTTCAGACATGTATAGTTGATCCGGGGCACAAAGCCAGCCCGACGTCTAATGAGGTAACAGGTTTATAGCATTAAGGAGCTCTAACTAACTGAGCTGACAACATTGATGGTTCATTTTAAAGGGCTCTGGTCATTTGAAAGGGCTCCTTTAATGTTCTCAGACTTATAGAAATACTTATCAACATGAAATATAGTCAATGATATTACTATAGTTTGAATTGTTGTATTTACTTATTTAGATTTTATGTCCATGATGTTGTTTTGACAAACCGATCCATGAGCCAAAATAAAAAAAAGCCATGGAAGGCCGGCCTTCTACAGAGAATTTATTGTTGTGCTTCCTGCTTATTGGAACACCTAATTCTGTATTCAGTGGCAGATGAGTCACACAGCCATATTTCAGAGTGTCACGCACTGAAAGGCAAATAAAGGTGAGACGGCTGAGGAATGACCGTCCTAGGATACTCCTGTCATTATAGTACGGCTCCATTGCTTATTTAACTGCTTAATGATTGTTCAAACATGGGTCCAAGGTCCAGCCACAACTACTGAGGTGTGTGTGCTTGCTTGCTGAAAAAAAATTCTGACGACGCAATTGGCTTCTGGTGACCTCTGGAGGATGCTGCTGGTAAATAATGAACGTGCCATATCAGCAGTGAGTGGGGAGCAGCGCCCTGTTAGGGCAGTAAAAGTGTCAGTAACCAGCATCATTGTGCTAGCTGTCGTTATTTACGCTGTCTTTTCCCTTCTCCCATGTGATTGGTGCAGAGTTCTCACCTGGCAATGATGGATGCCTTGATGGCGATGGGAGCTATGGAGACGGTGGCTGTGGTAAAGAGGCGTGGTTCTGCCGAGCTACCGGGTGGAGCCTCGAAGTGGGAGGATGCTCTGCTTCATTGGGTTAACGAGGTATGTGAACAAGATGAAAAGGAATAATGCTTTCCTCAGGCACCCATCTTTATTGTGTCCGTTCAGAAATGCATCTCAAGACCTCTACTGTAGATGATCCAGTGTCTGTTTAGCTACTGAAATAAGCATGCCGTAAATCTGTAAACCCACTGTGTATGTTGCTACTGTGCTAATGCACATTATCCTTGAAATCTGTAATATGTGTGTGTTAACCATTGCGTTATCATGTAACGCTCCCAGTTAAACCAGAAGTTGAGAGAACGCACTGAAGGAGCCCAGAATGACGCGTCTCAGGCAATTACGGAGCCCGAACCCGTTCAACCCTCTGTGAGTAATGCGTTACACATTCGCTGTATGTCTTTGTCTTGTCATACGTCTTTTATTACCAGACACGCATGATAATCTTCTGAGGATTACGCACTCAGTGCTACAGAAAGGCACCCAAAATTCTGTGGATTAAACGCCCTGTGTTGGTCCTGTTCATTTGAATGCTACCTGCACAGCCACAATAGGTTGACACAATAAAACTAAGTGTGGCGTCATTGCTTTGTCAACAAGGTTGTCTTGTCATTACAAGAAAGTACGGCCATCACAACCCTTTCTCTAGTTTATCTCGTTTTTCGGCTCCAGGCTTAATACCTCTCCTTGTGCTCCTGTTTTCCATTTCCTTGTCTTTTTCTCTTTCCTGTCCCTCCTCCGCTTTTGACAGTGCCCTACTCGCTGGTACTGGAAACTTGTTCCTGTAAGTTCCTTCCTTTCCTCTGCTCCTTCCCCTTGTCCCTCCATCTCTCCAGTGTCTTCATCAAAGTTTATGAGCAAATATCTGATGGTCAGGTGTGTTTTCTTTTTTTTTTTTTTTTTTTTTTTTTTCCCTTGTCTCCATATGCTGGTGTGAGAACACTTGTATGACTCAAAACTGCATTAAAGTGCACGTTGCTTATGTCAGTAAGGCAGGGCACTGGTTGTTGACACACGAGTAGTGCATGAATCACATTGGTACTCCAGCAGGCCATGAAACCGGTTTAGCTGGTCCTCTGTGCAACAGAGGTGTGTGTGATGGTGTGTGTGTGTGCATGTCTACGGAGACGAGCTTCTAGTCAGCTGCTGCCTGCAGAAAGTGAACCGTTTTCATTCTATCTCTGCTCCAGAGATACTTGGTTGTGTTCAACAGTGTTTGCAAAAGCCTGACATCAATGATGTGATTTTGACATGGAATTTTATGTCAAATATTTCACGGGTAAACATTAATAATTATGGTCACACTGCAGTATTTGATTAACTTCTGTGTGTATTTGTTTTATTTCAGCTCCGCTACAGGAAGGATAAAACGCAGTCCAAACAAAAGCCCATCTTTCCAACGGTGGATGAAGTGAAAGACCTGTCCACTGGTTGTGCTGTTGCTGCAGTCATACATTACTATTGCCCCGGCCTGCTAAGACTTGAAGGTACCAACAAACATCATAACCCTGAACAGCTTTGCAGTACTTCATATTTTCAAGTGTGTTCAAGACTATTTTTCTCTCTGTAAGATGTTTGCATGAAAGAGTCCATGTCCGTGGCGGACAGCCTGTACAACCTGCACTTCATCCATGAATTTTGTGACAGCTGTCTGAAGAGTTGCTGTCACTTGTCGCTGGAGGACATGCTATACACGCCACAGGAGCTTCAGGTAATCAAACTCCTGATCATTAATTGTCTGATTGAAATGTTAACGAATATATTCTGAATGCCTGATTTATTCTGTGATTTATTTAGGTCAATTTGCTGAGCTTCTTAGCAGAACTGCTTAGCTGGTTTGAGGTACGAAGGCCAGAATTTGTTCAACCAATAGACAAATTGGGTAAGTGTAAATGTTGCAGTCCTTGGTCTTATTGTATAATCCTATGATTTAAGATTATCGCAATGAGTCTTATTGTGTAATTTATTATTATTTTTTTTCAAAGATGGATCCACACCAGTATCACAAAGTAGCTTGAGTGGCAGCAGGTACGGCAGGTGTCTGAATAGGATTTTGCTTTGTAGTAGTCTGGCATATTCTTTGGATGGTACATTAGTTTGAACTAAAAGATTGTTTCTCGGCCCCACAGAACCTCCCCTTCTATCTTCAAGAAGCCTTTCCTCCCCATCTCCTCTCCTGCGCCAGGTAAGATTAAGACAGTCTCCGGTCATCATTGTGTCGCCAAAAGACGCACTACAGTGTTTTCTATGTTCTCTACCATTTTACAATCTAGTTCACCGATTTCCCTCAATCTTTTGTTTGTGGTTTAGTTTTTGTATGTATATTTTGTTTGTAATATTTTTTATTGGTGAATTGCTTTATTCATGCATCTGTGTTGTGAGCATGCCTTTACGTGTCTGTGTGTCCCCCCCCCATTGTACTCAGGATCTTTGACTCAGTCTACCTCAATGTCTCATATAGAAGGAGTTGGAAAGACATGGAGCAAAAAACCTCTCAGGTAGAACTCGTGTATTCATTACCACTCAAACATTGTCTTGTTGTACTTATTTTCATGGTACTTACACACGCTTATTTTTCTCTTTTAGCCGCCCCATGTCAGCGGTGTCCTTCAGCATTCCTTTTGGCCTGGACAGCGATGTGGACATTGTGATGGGCAACCCCGTGATAACCCGCTCTCTGAGCTCGGACCAACTCAACCCGGCGGGCCAAAACGTGAGCCGTGTGCCCCACACCCCTCCTGAAGACCTCAGCCGTTTGCTGAGCAAACCCCCCGGCTCCAACGGGCCACCCCGAGCTTCTTGGGCCACCCAGCCTCAGAGCGTTCCAAGGATGGCAGAGGAGAACGGCCTCGTGCCGAGTGAAACGGGAGAGCTGCCCACCATCGAGGAGGCTCTCCAAATCATCCACAGCAACAACAAGATGGAGCCTCGCTTACACCCCGATGGTGCTCCTGATGGTTTCTACCTCCACTCTCCCGATGACCCTGCTAGTTCCAGACATAACAACCCGACCCCCACCAGCTGCTCTGCCCCCACGCGCTCAGGAATGATGTACCGGCCCGCTGGAGAGTCCAAGGCCCCCGCTCGCATCAGAAACCCCTCTGAAGGTTCTCGAGACGATGACTCGGTCTTGAGAGACGGCAGCGTGGACTCTGACGCATCGGAAGACTTTCCCAAAACGCAGTCCACTCCAACCACCCCAGCGGCCGGGTCAAACTCCGCCAGGGCCCACGGCCGAGAGGCGCCCGATAGTGGCGTGAAGATGACCAGCTTTGCGGAACGCAAAAAGAAACAGATTATGGATTCACCGAAAGCCAGCGACCACGCGGCTTCTTCTCAGATGACCACGTGGGCGCAAAAGTCCGACGAGAGCCCGAGCAACAGCCCTCAGCTCAACAACGAGGTGTCGGAGCTGGGAACCCGGCTTGAAGAAAAGCGCAAGGCCATCGAAGCCCAGAAGAAACGCATTGAGGCCATTTTTGCGAAGCACAGACAAAGACTCGGGAAGAGCGCCTTCCTGCAGTTGAGGAAGGAGCAGAGTGACGGAGGAGGGGGCGAAGGGGACGGCCAGATCAGCACCGCGTCCACAGCAGATGACCTCTCCCGTGGGACACTTGAAGAAAGGCTAGCTCGAATGGAAGAGGAAGAGCGGCATGAACAGCGCCCCTCGGTGGAGGATGACGGTAATGTCAAAGTAGGACTGCAGCTCAACAAACAGGCCGGTCCCTCCAGAGAAAGGGCAGGTACGCCAGGAGAGAAGGGCTCTGGGACTCGTGGTGAGAAAGCGGCACCACTCGGGGACTATAACAACGCCGTGTCCAAGCTAACTGCAGCGCTCAGCTCTCTGCAAAGTGACATGCAGCGGCTGACCGAGCAGCAGAACCACTTGATCAAGAAGAAACCCGCAGTTTCCGGCCCTCAAACCTTCACCCAAGCCCCTTCACGCCACTCGCGGGAATCAACCCGAGACTTCAATTCAACCTCCTCCTCTCCATCCCACAGATTAATAAACCACAGCACTCCTCCTAAATCCCCCAAAGTCCATCGCAGAGCCCAATCTGTGCCCCCCAAACCCAGCCGTTCCTTGGACGTTAAGGTCCCGGCCCTCTCAAGGGTCATAACCGCGCCTCAAAACGTGGACCGCATTCCCCACCGCCGTCGCGTAGAGCATTTGCAATCCCAAAACCAGGCTTTGTCCTCGCTCTCATTTGGCGACTCGGACGACACGGATGAGCTGCGCTCATCTGGACCAACTCCCGCCACCACACCAAGACCCAGCCCCGTGCCGACTCCTGCCCCTACCCCCCGTCCCGATGACACAATGTCCGAGGTGGGCTCCAATGACGATCACAGTATATTTAGTATGGACCTGGAGGCCGGGTCCCCGCATGGTTTTTTGGCAAACAAGGAAAGGATTGCAGATGGGGGCTGCAGCTCTGGTGCCCCATCAGAGTGCTCCTTCGAGAGCGACGCCACGGCGGGGATGTTGAACGGCAAACGCAGTAGCCTGATAGAGATCTCTCTGCGAGGAAACGGGGAGGAGGACAGCCAAGTGCCGGACGCTTTCTCTGATTCAATGAGTGAACTGACGGAGCCCGAGGGCAAAGGAGGTGTTGGTTTCTTTTTCAAGGTAGGCAATTATGACTGCGTCTCGATTTCAAAAAAAAAAAAAATGCACTTGCAAAAAAATGCATTTTTAGGGTCAGTGGATTAAAGCTTTTTTTGATTTCCGTCCTAACGTTTAGGATGAAAAGGAGCGACCAGAAGATGAGATGGCCCAGCGACGAGCAGCTTTGCTGGAGAAACAGCAAAAGAGGGCAGAAGAGATGAAAAGACGCAAACTTGAGCAGGAAAAAGAAAAAGAATTAAAGTAAGACCCTTTTTCTTCAGCTACAATCACGACCAAATGAAGACTGCAGCATACAATGTCTTGAAATACAATCTGTCATGTTTGGGTATTACTGTAACCACATTTTTGACGCAAATGACTGAGTAGTATCTAATGATTTATTGACTATTATTTATTCAATTAAATTGTTGCCATCATTTATCTGATACACCAGTCATGTTTTTATGCCTCAAATTTGGTAAAAGCCACCACAAACAAGCAAGCCTTGTCGATATGACGGTCACATGTCTCAGACGGTGTCTTCCTGTACTTTTAGCAAGCCTCAGTGGATGATCATCGAAGGCTGGGCAAACAAGAGCGAGGACGGGGCCAAAACTCCAGGCACCCCTCCGACTGCGCGCACCCCACCTGTTGAGGGGACGCCTCAGCGCAGGGGAGACTTCACTCGCCTGGAGTACGAGAGGAGACATCAGCTGAAGATCATGGAAGACTTGGACAAGGTGCTGAGGCAGAAACCCACCACGGTCCGCGGTGTCAAGAAGCAAAGGCCCAAGGCCGTGTTCAGAGACGACTCCGTCCTCTCTCACAGCCCTATCAGGGGTTTCATGGGTAAATGTTCATGACCCACCATGTCTCCTTTTTTTGTATTCAGTCTTCCAACACCCACGCATGTATTTACTCACTCATTCAATATGGTTACTTCTTTTTCCCTCCGTGTAGGCACCAAGGTGTACTCCCGCTCAACCATGAACCTGTCCTCCATGGCCAATGACTCTGGCGGCCTGACAGTCAGGAAGTCTCCCAGGTAACCTGCGCAGCGACTATAGCTTGTACTTTCTTAATGTAAAGTACGGATTTTACATATTAAATCTGGGCAAATAAAGCATTAGTAAAATTGCACAGCCTCTGGGTTTATCACAAAACGTTTTCTTTTTTTACTTCCTCCAGCCGTTCACACTCTCCCGGCAGGCTAATGTCCCCCAAACGAGCGAGTGCTCACAACGGAGAGAAGGATTGGGAAAATGGCTCCACTATTTCCTCCCCTGCCTCAATCCCGGAATATACAGGTCAGTGACGTGTTTCGAACTGAACTTGATTATGAAAAGGAACCCATTAAGCTTTGTTTTGCTGGCTTAATAACATGAGAAAAACGCCTTGCAGGACCAAAGCTGTACAAGGAGCCTAGCTTTAAGTCCAACAAGTTCATCATCCATAATGCCATCACCCGCTGCTGCCTGGCCGGCAAGGTCAATGAACCACAGAAAAACAAGATTGTAGAGGTAAAGTCCAACAATAAAGTCAACCCTCTCTAGGCTATAAGTGACTGACTTATTACTACATTCACCATGCGTTTTCTTTTTAATTTTCTTCTTCTGTCTCCCTCAGGAGATGGACGCGAGCATGGGCAACCACTTCCTCATCCTCTTCAGAGATGCCAGCTGCCAGTTCAGAGCGGTTTACACCATGAACCCTGAAACTGAGGAGATGGTGCGGCTCACTGGTATTGGCCCACGGATTATTGCACCTGAGATGGTTGAGTCCATTTACAAGTACAGCTCCGACCGCAAGCAGTTCACCGCCATCCCGTCCAAAACAATGTCCATGAATGTCGACGCTTTCACCATCCCTGGTCACTTTTGGCAAAAGCGCCCAGGAACTCCCAAGAAGCTTGGCACCCCCAAATAATGCCAAGAGAGCTGGGTGACGATGGGTAGAGGCGTTACCGTTCAGGAAACCAGCTCCCCTTTTCCTCCGTCATAGCCAATGAGGAACTGAGCTGCTCAAAATCAGTGGACAGCATGACTGGTTGGGCTATGGGCCATCTATCGACTTGGACCCCGAGAGCAGTCCAGTTATCTCAACATGCCCAGAGAAAGGGGACAACCACTCACTCATTCAGCCAATGTAGTTAAAATAGTTTATCTCCAGAGGGCCTTTTGATTGGCTCGGCCCTCGTCTACGATTGTAAAATGTAATGCGACTAATTCTGTTGGGATAAGGAATTATCTTTCCCTTGTGCCCTGCCTCCTCATGCCTTGCCTTACCCCCGCCCCTGGAGTGATTTTTGCAACTCTTACGTAAGGAAAAAAAAAAAAAAGAAACAGCAAAGCAAGGACAGCCACACTGCCTTTGCCCACACAGTATTTTGGGCCAGAGTAGTTTCCGCCCCTCTCCATTCTGCTTGCTTTTCCTTTTGCTGCCTTTTCTTCTTTTTTTCCAGAGCTCACCCTCTTTAGTCTGGTGGCTCAGATCAGAGATCTTAGATTAAATGGCAGAAATGTCTGTTCTCACTCAGATGTAGGCCACACGCTAACCACTCATTCCATTCAGGGGTGTTTTCACTGGTTTGTCATGACCAGAAAAAGGAGGACAATGGGTGGTTCTTCTATGGGCTGGTGGTGGCGACTGTGGTTGTCATTGGACTTGCACACTTAAAAACAAACAAAAAAAACTGCCTATGCTCCCGTTGTTAGCGCATTCCACTCCATTCCAACTCTTTCAGCCGTAGACATCTGGATGTTTTTTTGATACTGTTTTGACATTTCTTTGCTGGACAAATTGCTTCAGCCTCCGGGAGCTGAAAGAAGAATGAACTTCATGTAACTTTTTCCACTTAAGTTGCTTTCTCATTTTCAAAATGTGATGAATTGGAATGTTATCTGAGCTTATCTTGAAAAATAATTACTGGAAAAATTAAGGAGGGCTTTACCATGTCTATTATTTCTTTGATACAGCTATTTGTGAAAATGATAATCAATGTTGATTTAATATATACTGAATGCTGATCCCTTAGATTTTTTTGACAATGATTTGTAAAAAGTAAGTTAACCTTTGTAAGCTCCGAATAAGCTAGCCTGATGCTTAAGCATTAGTGAGATGTATGTTTGAGAATGAGTGTAAGAGAATGAAAAAATATTGTCAAACAACTAAAAATTGCTTAAACCTTTGTGACTAGGAGTCTGTTTGCTGTTATGATTCCCTGTTTGTGTGCATACAAACAGTAGGTTTCGTGTCAAAGGATCATTCTGGGCTGTAACAGCCCTCCTCTTCTCCCGTCTCGACGCCTCATCATATATGACTTGAGTAATGTAAGACGCTATTGTAAAACACTTTGGCTTTGTGTCCACGCTGTTAGAAAAAAAATCATTGGTCCCCCAGATGCTTCTGATCAGATCAATCACATCACAAAACCTGTTGGAAATTGGGTTTCTTCTCCTCCTTTTACAGTCTTTACTGCAGCAGCTGCTGTTGTGCAGCTGTCTTTGAAATCACTCACTGCCTCCAACAAATGTGGTGTTTGAATGAGATTCAGGTGTGGGAGGAGAAATGATAAGCGCTGCATTCAGGAAATACGATTTATAAGTGAGTGTGGAGGAGTGCATATGGAATTGGTGGATGTTTGTATTTATGCGTTTGTGAAGAATAGTATGTGGTAGTTGAACACTTATTTTTTTTTCCTGTGCAATTCTCCCTTAGAAATCCCCATGTTACCCAGAGGTGTATTTATTTAGTTTGCATTAGATGGTACATTTGATGTTTAGTTTCAGGGTATTCTTCATGTCTTTTTAGGTGGTAAGTCTCTCATTCATTTCATAGAAGTTGTCATAACATTTATGTTGTTTCCTTTTTCCTCTATTATCAAACATGTGCCAGCACATTGTGTATGATCATTTCATAAGTTGACTATCCTTGGCAACTAGATGAGACAAATAAAAAGAACATTTTAAAATCATCTATATTTTCTCATTTCCATTTTTATTTTTCCATTTCATTTTGAGCAAATGCATTTGATCAGTTTTTGCTGCAGCAAAGAGCCTTTCTGGCCGATACATAAAAAACGAGTTTCCTGGCTATTGCAAATATCATGTAGTACTTATATAATAATTGCACATGTTTACTAAATGTTCTCCTTCAATGCTGATCTGGGATCACATATTTTTGAAGTGGTTAGGGCTTCTAAAGCGCATTTGTTACTTTTCAAAAATCATCAAACATAAAAAGCATAGCTGGGTCCTAAAAAGCAAATATTAAGGTACAAAAGTTCACAGCAGCAAACTGACTGTCACTGAGATGCAACTGCATTCCCTCAGCTGTGCTTGGTGTGCAGCATCTCAGTGAGTAGAGAGTTGCAGGGCAAATCTCCCAGAAGATGACGCTGGTACAAATACTCCTCAAGCTGGAAGCTGATACTGCGTACTTCGGGAAGTCGTAGCAACAGCTGACCAAACTTGTCGGACTGTCTTGGATGGCTCCGTTGGGTGTGCTCCATCAGGGCCCTGTTCACCCTCTCTTGTGTCTGCTCCACCTGCTTACGGCTCTGCACTGACTTCACGTCTGTAGCAGAAAGCACAGGAATCGTACACAGTCAACTGCTGCGTGCATGACTAACATTAACATAGAAAAGGTAACCGAGTTGGAACAAAAAGGTACATCTTCTGTGCGTCTCTTATATCTTAAGAGTCAAACTATACTTTCATCAAAAAAACTCACCGGGGTTGAATAGCACCAAGTGTTTCAGACCAACAAACTCGTGTCTGTCGAGGTGGAATGCTTTCATTTTGGATACCAAGTCCTGGGTCCTCGATACCAGGCTACTCAGTGCAAATCCTGCTTGAGAGATGATGGTCGACACCTCAATCTGCATCAGAAGGACAGATAGCTTCTGGTCAGCAGTTGTCCCGAAACAAGATGTGTGCAATCCATGACATTGTTGATAATCATTACAATTCTCAATGCGATAAAGCCAAACTTTACCTGTTGGCCCGTGACCAGATATATGCATCCCTCTTTGCTGTAGGTCACCTGTCTACAGAGGTGATCCAGCACTAGCAGCTCACTCCAACAACTCTGGAGCAGCGACATCTGGTCCTCCAGCTGTGAGACGCAAACAAAAACAGTTCTGATCTATTACCAAGCAAAGAGTGTCAGAGCTCCCGGAGATAACTTCTACTACTGTCATCATGTAACTTTATAGTGTGTGATTCCTCACCTTGAGCTCCTTGAATAGTGCACTGTTCCTAGACCACTCCACAAGCCCGAACAGTGTCTGGTCTGCTATTTTGCACATGATGCTGAATGTATTTAGGCGGTCGTGCTTGCCCCGGTTGGCCTGTTCTCTCTGCAGACTTGCGAGGACCTTGGCACACAGCTGGCTCTCATCCTGCTCCCCGACCAGGAGTTGATTGAGCAAGTTGGGTTTAAGAATTGCCAATGACGTGGTATCGAGGGTTTGGGCGTGAGTGTGTGGGAGAGGGGTGGATGAGCTTGGTTTTGAGCAGGGGGACGATGCCGGTGTGCTTCTTGTTGTGAACGAATCCAAAATGGGGTGCACATAGTTTGTTGGAGCTTGGCTGTAGCTATAAGGCATTTCTACTTTCTCCTGGAGGTATCCGGGGAAGGTGCGTTGGTAGAGTCCAGAGTAGGGCAGCGAGAGAGGGGAAAACACCCTGTCTGCGTTCATGGTACAGTCCAGAGTCATTGGAGCACCCGATGTCCCCATGCCAGAGGGATACGTGTTAGACTCATGTAAAGCATCTGAAGACAACACAGCACTTGTGTGATTGCTCATTAGGGGAAGGTCATTCGGAGGTGTCGGCCGTTCTGTTTGAGTAGTTCCCATTTTCATCCTATAGGAAGCGGGGTTTGGCTGGTGATGTACTTTCTGCTGTTTTATTTGCCTGTCCCATCGGTACAGAGGGCCAAATTTATTCCTCCCCCCTCTCATACGATCTGCTCTTACTGCTGTTGAAAGATGATGAAACAGATTATTATTGTTTATGATCCAGGGCATTACAGTTCCACAGCGTTTATGACTTCTTATGTGAGTCGTCTGGGGGAGAAGAATACACGCATGTCAAAAGAACAAGACACGTCACAAATGACCAGCGTGCAGGTCCAAAGGATGGTTTGCTGTACCTTCTCTCTTCATGCCCACTGCCAAACACTTTTGAAAGCGGCAGAAAGGACAGCGTTTCCTCTGCGAAAGGTTAATAAGGCAGCTCCGTTGTTCTGCACAGGTGTAATACTTGTTATTCTGCACTGAGCGTTTGAAGAAGCCCTGCAGAGAAAGAGAGATTGTAACCCGACTGCAAGCCGATCCAGAGTGACAATATGAAAGATGCATCATGCCAGCTAACATATCTTAGGTATACAGTAGTTGACCTACTATATAGCTCATATATATGAGCTATTTGCTCAGTACTATGAAACCAAAGTGCTTTTTGGTGCTGTAGAGTATACATACTTTTTCATGGACTGTCAAAAACTATCCCTTACCTTGCAGCTTTCACAAGTGAGCAGTCCATAGTGGTATCCGGACACTTTGTCTCCACAGATGGGACAGCTCTCTTCTGACTGTGTTGTGCCATCTGGTTCTGCCTTTAATTCCTGAGCTGGAGAATGACATCGACATTAATGCTGAATGTCAAAGGTACAGCACTGCACAATTTGCTGAGGCAGAAGGGGAGAAAACAAGTGCTAGTTTTAAAAAGGGGATTATTATGGTGATGTGCCCAGCAAATCCTGCTTCAACCTTTCTTCTCTGCTTCCATGTTCTTACCCTCTTTTTTTCATTTTTACTTTTTGAAATATACAGTGAACATTGTATTGAATATTTACTAGTATTAGTGAGTCATGAAGAAGATTTTGAGTTGATACTGCGTATTAAAGAATAGTGAGCAGTTCATGACGATCCCTACAGACACGACCTTATCACTGGGTTGACTGAACACAGATATGACCTTTATCTAATCACCAGTCTACCACAACCACTTTGTGCCTTTTCTTCTGTAAATGGGGATTTTAACGCATCTGCTACTCTTCATACTATGCATTTCCAGACGCTTTTATACACCAACGTTGAAACAAGACATGTAAAACAATGATACTTTCATAACCCTTCACTCCCTCAACAAGGATTTCCAGAAACCTGTCTGCAAATGTACTGACTAATAAAGGGATCCGACTAACATATACTCACATGCCGACGCTCCTTCCAAAATAAAGGGGTATTTGCCAGGATGGTGGACAAGTGGCTGCTGTGGGTGGTAATCAGGTAGGTCCATTGTGGCAGATGGGATATGAGCTTCAGAGTCAGCCCAGCCTGGTCTTCATTGTTTCAGAGACCAGGAGACCGGACCCACACAGGAGAGCCACAGAATGGCCGGCTGGCAGGCCCAACAGCCCCGATGGACCGATGGCTGTTTGAGGCCCACAGGTGGACTTTGATCTTTGTCATAAAACCTCTCCCGAGCGGCGCTCCCACCAAGCCAGTCAGCCAGACAGTCCTATATGGAGCAGCGTCAGATATCCACCTGCTCTAATGTAACTATGCTGAAATCTCGGGGCTCAGCTGATAGGACAAGGGTCAAGTGCAGTTAATCAAAGACAAAACTACAGTCATTTAGCTGTTACTTTTATTATGGGGTCGTTCATTCAGTGTTGGGACATTGCAATTAATGCGGCGTTATATAACAAATACACAGGGTGTCAACTTATTTACTTCATTACTTCATTAAAATGTTACTTAAGCTGACCTTTTTGAAAGATGTGTTGTTCAATATGACATTATCAGGAAGTTAATGGTGTTTCATTGATGTGTAAGTAGCGTTTCACTGTTCAAGGTGCATCTAGTTTTAGCCTTTTTTTGTACAGTTCTTAAGTTAAATATCTTGGATTTTGCTAAACAAGACAAAATAAATTTTAACGTCCAACGTGCAGTCTTTCTTTTCTTTTTTTAAACTTTTCTTGTTTTTGTTGAAAATGATGATTTTTCTCCTTATAGACAAACTTAGACAATAGATATAGACAAACTATTTTACAGTTTATCTGCTAACAACTGATGGACATATGAAACATGAGACATTGGGCCTTCAGCTGATTAACGTCTTTTTATTGAGGAGTCCAAGACGAAAATGTTTGGAAGCCCCTCGTTGAATCTTTATATTTATTTCATAAGCTGGTCATTTTTTATATGTAAAATGTTGACCTGTAAAGTAACTGGTATAGCCGTCATATAAATGTAGTGTAAGAGTTTAAATATAAGGGTGCGGAAATCCACTGCTAGTAATCGAAAATCCTCAATAACTACTGACACTGACATGAACTTAAATGTATCCACCTTAGTACAGCTATCGAGAAAAGGGCAGTAAACCTTTGCTGTAGTCAGTATAATACAATATCAGCCAATTGCTTAAATCAGGGCTGAGATTAAATGGTTCCACTTCCAGCCAGTGCTTGATAAAGTGCAAAGGCTGCTTTGATGATGCTCACAGTGACGTCAAAGCAACAGGGCAGTTCAAGGGTGAATGGTTATGACTCCTGCACATTAACTCGTAAATGGATTATGACATTCATCAATGCAATAGGCCTCACACTATTTTGAGCAGTCTGGTTTCTGATCCCTGACGGTGTTTTGCGCTCACTTTCAGGGTAAATCTTAAAATATACAACTCTCTATCACATGTCAACAAGAGATTTGAAATGTGTGGCAGCGCATGCCGTCTGATGGTATTCCCTAAATTAGCACTGCCATCTGGTGGCACTGTTGCATAACTGAATTGGAATTGGACTGATGTTTTAGGATGAAGGTCCTCTATTGGTTAACAACCACCAAAATGCAATGGAGTAATTTTATTGAATAGAACCACAAACAACAACAACAACAACTATACGGTGGTATAGAACCATCTACTAAATGGTGTATTTGATTAATTCAAACCTAACAACATTTTTGGAACCTGTGCTCTTTACTTGTTATCTGACAATTACAACATCTTTTCATATACCATGTTTACTGTAAGCAGTCATTGTCAAGATCATTTAGGAATCCAATTCCTCACTGCTGGTACAGACCGGCTCATCCTCGACGACGTACCACACCTCGTTGTGCCTGTTAAACATCGTCATTGGACTGCAACAAAAAATAAAGAAAGAAAGGATTGATTACCCAATATAAAAATGATCATCAAATATAGAAGTTTCTCTTTTGGCTTTTCTTTCTGAGTATCGCTAAAAAAAGGTATTATTTGTTCACCTGTTATATCCGACGGCATAGTGGAAGTTTCTTTTGTACTTTGCACCCACTGAATTGAGGTCAGTGGTCAGAGCCTCCGCTTGGCTTTGGTCTCTAATCTTCAACATCCATCCTCCGTAGCTCCTCACGTACACTTTCATGTCTGGAATCGTCTCGATGTAGACCTGCAAATCAATAACGTTTCCTTACCTGCCGACGCTGAAGGATGACTTGACAGAACAAATTCAAATACGGCATCATTGCATTAATTAACAAAGTTTGATGTGCTGCCCTCTCAGCCGTGTTTTGTGATAGAAGCTCACCCTATCATCAGTAGGTTTGGGGGGATTCTTCTGATGTTTGGATGGCAGCAAGAAACTCATTGTGTAGGTACCACTTTGCCAGAATTTCGTGTTGTCAGAGAGTTTGAGGAGAACGGGAGTTGTCATTTTGACATTATTTTCTGTGGATAATAAAAACAGTTTTATTTAAAAAGGTAAAAATTTGAATTGCACAGCAAACAAAATGTTATTGTGCAACCAAATACTGTGCTGTTCTCAATGTCTGCGGGTCTCTATTAAAAAAAAGAGATTTTAATAAGACCAAAACATCTATAAAGAACGCTGGATTCTCGTTGGTACCGTTGATGTAGGTAAAGAGTCGTCTGAATGCCCTCATGTTTGCAACCTCCATGATCAAGGATGATTCGTTAGTTGAAACCCAACTGACAGAGTCATAGTGACGGACCTGACGGACATGAACAAACATGGTAGAGGAGGCTTTTAGGATTTTTTGAAACTCTCTTGCACATCAAATGTGAAACGGTTCCTCTTCTTTCTCAGACGCACTCACTTCGTAATCGTCAGTGCGACAAATGAGATCAAACAGGCAGCATTCATCTGTCTCAGAACAGAAGTCCAACTCAGATGAGTTTCTGTATAATTAGAACAGCAGACATAAAAAAAAAGGCACAGATAGCAATTTCGGTCAAATGCAACAATCTATTTAAACTGGCTGATCATTTCTTACCCAACTCTTGCCTCAGCTGTTAAGACTAAGAGGAGGCCAACGAATCCTGAAAGGTAAAACCTGAAACACACACATAGACCTTTCAATAGACTGTTCACCCGCAGGGAAAAAAAGATCTCTAACAGAAATTAAGTTTAGTTCATACACCAACGTGTAGGTTGTCCGATGCGATGTCAACTATAAAATTGTACTTACATTGTGTGCAGAGAGCTGGATTCTGTGTTTTCCAAGGTGATATCTTTGCAGTCTGGTCGGAAAGCAACTATTTATTCCAAGTCTGGTTATGAAAGACAAACTGGCCACTCCCTGGACACACAACACAAACCAGGCTGGACCAATGGTAACCAAAAGCAGTAACAGAATTATATATTCATCATGTGAAGAATTATATAACAGACAAAGAGACACGTGTTATATACACTCTTTGTCACGTTTGATATCTCTAGGGGTCATCACACGGTATCCATATGTTTAACCCCATTCAACACAACAACACCAGCAATAAATCAAAAGTTTCAAATCTCTCTATTTCTAGTTTAAACCACAGGCAGAGAAGTGTGGAAATCTTTTCATTGACTTTTCACAGCCTAATCTAAAGGTCAGCTGGAAGTATGTGTTTGTGTGCATGCAGGTGGTGTATGTATGTGTACAGTGTGTGCAGCATGCTTCAGAATAGGCGTGTAGATGAGACACTGATCTGTCTGCCTGCTGTGTGATGTAGGATCCCTTTTTATGTTTAACATTTGATTACTGAAGTCATTAGGGGAAAGCACAAAACATAGAATCTGTATTATTATGAAACAAACCATCAGTTTCCGCATTAAACCCTTGTAATAGTAGAATTTGAGAAAAAGTGGAAGTCCTTGATCATTGAACCGAATACTCCAAAATTGCTTTTGTTTTTATCTTTGGCATTTTCTCTTTTATTGTGCCACTATAATGTATTTCTCAGTTAATAACTATATGATTCACTCATTAAAAGTCAAATCAACATTGTTTTCATGCAAGAAGATTATCTGATTTTCTCTGTACAACGCCCAGGCATCAGGTGGTGCCGAATTTGACAAAACCTCATGTGAAAGTGGAGGCTCATGTTTCCTTAGAACATAAATAAAACTTTTTCAGTTCCCACATGGTATTACTTACCCCACGTTGTACAGAATGTCCCACCCTCACTCTGGCGTGCAGAAACAAACACAAAGGTTGCAGAGAGGGATGGTGTGAATGTGTGAGAAAGAGAATCATCTTACAAAAGAAGTTCTTACATGGCACCTTTTGTTTGCAAAGATCTTGTGATACAGACTGGGGAACGCTAAATCTATGGAAATGGTTCCGACTTCAGAAAAAATGCATTCAACCATGAAACATGAGGTCGAATTACATGCAAACAGATGAGAGAGCTTTAGTGCACCATCAGGCTGCGAGGACAAAAAACAGTTAAATTAAATTGGGAACGGAAATGAAATAAATTTGTATAAGAATGTGATTCTTAGCAATATTTATATATATATTTTTTGTATTATTCCATCCCCTTCGTCAAGTTAATTAACTGAAAGAGTTGAGTATCTGTGCTTTGCTTTTTAAAAATGCAACGTTGATTACCTGATTACTAGTTTAAGTGGTGTCATTGAACAAGAATGTAAAGCATTTTTATTTACTATTATGATGACATATTTGTGGCATGCTATAATCTCATTTAAAACTATTTAATAAAATGTGTGGATTTCCTATGGTTAACTCTCTCTCTTTTTTTTTAAATTCTGCATAATAATACATAATACAGTGGTCTGTAATTGAGCAAACAGATGTGCTGCGGTTTGCACTGGCGTCTCCTGTAAAACTACAACTCCCACCCGCACCAACTCGCCCCGCGTGACCCGTCTACGTAATCGGCCGGCTTATGGAGCCGCTTGTCCTGCCGAGTCGGATCGCTCCTCTCACTCACCGAGGGCCGCTTCGCTTTCGCAGGGAAACCGTTGTTATTTCCCCGATGTGCCGCTGTGGAGGACGCGCTCCACGCCACAGGTTGGTACATTGACAAACATTATAAGTGGATTTTTAAAGAAGTTAACTAGTCCTACAGGGAGTTCAAATGTCTGCAATACTCACAGTTTATTTGGACGTTTTATGGGTTATATTTCCTCCCCCGGGTGTGGTGTGCTTTTAATAGATTCGTATTCAAAATGAATCTTTTAACATGTATAATAGACGGCATTTCTGTAACCATTAACTCACTGCCGTTATTGTTCATATGAGAAAGAATTAGCATTCAATACGTCGCCCATTGCTTGGAATGTCCCATTTCCAAAACTATTAGTTGTTATGTTGCGCACGCCAAGACATTTCACTCAATACTCACTGTGATTAGACCTGTTAAGGCTTTGGGGGAATGAATGACCTCTACAAACACTAAGATCGCCAATTGTGGGCAGCTAGAAATTCCAGGGCATATAATTAAGATTAGAACCAATATAATCTCTGAATAAATACCACAGTGGCTTACATTACATTACATTATTATATATCAGCTGATGGCGGAACTAATTCTTCGCAACAGCTATTTGCTGGTCATACATATAAATAAGAAACTATACAGTTATTTCCATTAGATCATAATCTAACACAGCTGCATGATTGCAATTTGTTTGCGTATACAATGCTGGCACCAATGTGCTGGTTTTCATTAAGTGGACCCCTTTTTGTTAATGAGCATTTTTAAAATGACGCTCACATCGAATATCTTGCTAATTGGGTATTTCAAAATATCATTCACGGCAAAGAAAGAAGTAATTTAAATAAATATACTCATGGCGTAATAGGCAACATAGATTGACCATAAGTGAAATACGACGCTAAATTAGAAAATAATCTGAATTGTATAGAACAGTGATGATGACATTGTTGTGCGCTGATTTCCCTTTAAATAAATTTCCCTGACTCGGCGGCCAGGGATTCTTTGAAGCTTTGAAGTCAGAGGTCAAACGGCCCATGGCAGCCAGAAGGGTTCTGGTGACCGGGTGCTCCTCTGGCATCGGCTTGGCAGTGGCGGCGCGGCTGGCCAGGGATGAGCTCAGACGGTTTAAAGGTCAGCCATTCAATCTCCTCGACCAAAAAAAGAGCGCAGTGATACGCGTACAGACACGACTACATCTACATCTACCGCCTCTATTCATTGTTTCCCCCCCCCCCCCCGAGGCAGTGGTTGCCACAATGAGGGATCTCGGGAAACGTGGGCCGTTGGAGAAAGCGGCAGGTGACTCCTTAAACGAAACTTTGGAAATCAAGCAGTTAGACGCCTGCTGTGAAGCCTCCATCAAGGAGTGTGTCGACAGCCTGCCGGACAGACGGGTGGATGTTCTTGGTACGCCACTTCTCACTCTCATTTTAAGTGAATTAAAGATCTCCATTCACACACATATAACAACATAGAATACTTTGCTACTACAGTGAACAACGCCGGTGTGGGCATGATCGGACCACTGGAGTGCCAGAGTATTGACGCCATGAAGGAGCTCTTTGACACAAACTTCTTTGGCCTGGCCCGGCTGGTGAGAGAGCTGCTGCCGGACATGAAGCGGAGGCGGAGCGGCCATATCGTGGTGATGAGCAGCGTTATGGGAACACAGGGTGCGTTTGTTATTGTCGCTGAAATGACAAGAAAATTAGCCAAGAGAAAAGAAGGTTACAGTGACAGGTTTCTTTATGTTCTCACACAAGGGCTTCTGTTCAATGACGTCTACTCAGCCTCCAAATTCGCTGTGGAAGGATTTTGTGAAAGTCTGGCAGTGCAAGCGATGAAGTTTAACATCAAGTGATTGTCCGGAAAGAAGTTTGAGAATCTTATGCAGTCAACCAACAATTAAAGTGATGTTTTTAAAAAAATGTAATTGACTTTAAGGAAACAGTGATCCAATATGTCCCTTTTTTTATATCTGTGTCACAAGGACAACTCTGGTGGAACCAGGCCCTGTGGTTACAGAGTTTGAAAGGAAAGTATACGAGGACGCTGAGAAGATGGAGCTATCTGGGACGGACGAGGAGACTGCCAAAATCTTCCGGGAAATTTACCTGCCGTACTCTGTGAAAGTGTTTGCCTCGTTAGGCCAGACCCCAGAGGAAGTGGCTGAGGCAAGCGACATGACATTTTCCATTTGATTCTTTTCTTTTTTGCAGGGAGAAAGGCACTCGGGTGTTGACATAGTTCTGTTTGTATTCTAGCAAACTGTTAAAGTGATAACAGCCAAAGAGCCTCCTCTGCGCCACCAGACCAACCGCCTCTACACGCCCATGACGGCGCTGAAGCATGCAGATCCGACCGGTCGACTGCCTCTGGACGCCTTCTACAAGATGATCTTTAAACACAGCAGTGTGTTCAATGCCACGCTCGCCGTGCTGCGCGTGCTGCAGAGGAGGGCAGGAAAGAAATAAAGATTTCACTCTTAGCTTCCATGGGCTATAAATGGCTTATTCATGTTATGTTATTATAGAGTAAGTGATGGAATCTGGGAGCCACAACTGTTTTTTTTAAGTATAGCATCCAACTGTGATGTGATAGAAGTAAGGGTACAAGCCGTAGGACGTTGTCTGTAAATTATACAGTTACTGCAAAAAAAGACGAATTACTATTGTACTTTACATATTTACAAATTATTTATGGACCTTCTTTCTTGTTGTGGAATCTCTTTCTTTATTTTGATTTGTACAGGAAAAAACACTGCAATAACAGCAATGTAAAATGAATTCTCATAATAATAATAAATATACTACTATAATGCTTCTAAATGAACTGTGAATTATTATTACAAAAGTAAAACAAATCCTGGATAATATCCATATATTAGTCTAGAATAAATGAGACAGGTAGATGTTACCCAGGCTACTATTTTAGGCAAATACAATCCCGCTGCATTTCTCCATTGCCGATGCGTGCTCAGAAAAGCTCTTGAATAGCGGGACAACTGAGATTTGAGGCACATTAATATGTGAATATTCACTGTCAGTGAGGTAATTACAAGATGCTGTTGTTGAATGATGAGTAGCTGTTAAGGGGTTGCTGCAGCCAGTGCAGCAGTATCATGCTCGTCTCCGTCTATATATCAGTTTATCTTACACGTTTGCTATGTAAAGGTCGGTTAATAAAAAACAACACTAACCTGATGGCATTCAATTCAACAAATAAATAGGTGTCTGCATAAGCAATATCCTGTTAGTGTGTTGGATGGGGAAGATTAAATAGACCAAAGAATGCACTGTGATTCCAGTGGACTATTTAGTAGCAAGATATATCCATGTATGTGGTGAAGAAACCTGATGTGTAACTCTACAACGGAGAGAAAACACAAGCAAATAAGTCACTGTGACTTTGACCTTTGACATGTAGATTATACACTCAGCAAGGATAATAATTATACATCTTTCAATTCTTTCCTTGAGCAGTGCTGTAGCGCTAAACACCAAACACATCATGCTTCAGACTAGCGGTCACAGAAACCCCAAACCCAAATCTCAGCTCTTACCCCAGCCAGAGATGCTCACCAATATCCAGTCCTGTACTGGTCCCAACACACTCCTGTATAGTCCAAATGCACTTAGGTTGTGAGTGCATTAAAACATTTACTTGGACTTAACTGGACGAAAATCTAAGAAAATAATTGCAGTCAAAAGCAAAAATGTATTTTTACTGGAATAATGAGTTGGCAACCTAATTTATTGAGTCTGGATTTTACCTCCTGTGCCAAATTGTAAGCGCAAGCTAAACTTGCTCTAACAATTATAACGTTACCCTTGCTGACACAGAGAGATAAGACAGATGTTTACTATTTTAACATTTTTTTAAATGTACTATAGCTTGGGTTAGTGAGCACAATTACTGGGCAATGTACCGTAAAATATATAATAATAATAATAATAATAATAATAATATAAGGCAGTCAAATACCACAAGCTTAGAAAAAAAATGAAAAATATGTTATCCAACAAGAGCCAAAAGGACAGCTTTAATTATTGGGAATAATATTCAGTTTTATTTCGAGGCTTATAATTATGAGGAATTCTATCCTCCTTTATAATATGAAACAGTGACTGAAAACAAGGACACAAAAAATGTAGTTCCCTACAGCTTTTATTATAAGTAACTTTACAATTTTTGACTGTAGAAAGAAAAAAAGTGGAAAGGATTATGTACAGTGATATTGAACTACTTTTAAACAAGTATAGGAATTATTAATTATAGAAAATATCTATGACTGTTCTAATAACACAAGACCAATAAAATATCAGTCACAGCCTCAGCTTCAAATAATGCTAAATGAAGTACATTTTATTTTTGTCCTTTTTAGTACATAAACATTTCAGAAACATAAGACTTCTCAAGCAAAGATCTACCCAGTACAAACATATTTACAAACAGAAGTTGGGAGGTTGAAATGTACAAAACACTTAGTGCGACCTGGTTGGAAAATTTAAAGACCAGTTATATATAAAAATAAAAAACAAACACAGTTTTTGTAAGTAAAATGTGAACTGGACTGTGAAAAACAAAATGTTTCCCAGGTCTGATGAAAAACGGTAGCTGGGTCTATAGTGAACAGGATAAAACACTGAATGAAAGAAACTCTATGACACAACTAGGGGCAGTGTTAGGTCACCACAAAGGTAGTAGCTAGGAATGGTGGCCTACTAATTTCTGTTCACGATGCAATGGTTACTTTCTCAAAATTCTACTATTATCAACGGACTTTATGCTCAAATGTCAATGAGAGGACGACCTCTATCCTTAACACGGGTCACGTGGGAGTAAATAGTCAGTCGAACATTACACAAGGTATTAGCTGGACGACTGGGAGAGTTATCTCAGAATTTTGCAAAAAGGTTTAAGGGTGCAGCACTACATAGTAGCGTTCTTTCCTTTCAGTCTCTTCTAACAATCATCTTAAGATGCATCTCCGCTGCCCCTGGACTGGGAGCCACTGTAGATGCAGGGAAACGCTCCCACTGCATGCCATAAAACACCTCCCTGAGGAGTGACAGGGCATAAGCAGTCACAGCCCAGCAGCCACACCCTCACACTGACCACTCCACCACAGACACTAACACGGACACGGTCAGAGAGCCAGCGAGACCTCAATCGCCACAGATATAGTGAAGGAATGTTTTCATTTAGACTTTAAAAATGTCACTTCTACTTGTCTGTCACTCTGTTGTACTCTGCGTTAGAGGCTGCTGACAGGTAGTTTCCATATTCAACCAAACAGGCAAAATGAAGGAATGTTTGCAAGGAAGAGTGACATTAAATAGCAGCCGATGAGCATAGCTTAGTACATCTGAAGTGATGTTTAAAAAACAGTATCCATGGTCTTCACAAATATACAGAGTACCAAACAAATTGAAAAAAAAACATCATCAAAAAAAGGCAGTGAGAGGCTGATTTTAAAGGCAAAACAATACATGTCTCAGGGCTAACAGTAGAACCGGAGGTAAGATTCCTGTAGTCAGTGATAAATTGGACTGACTTTATTCTGCCAATTTACTTTGAAAGTTCAGAGGGAAAATTACCATGAATTTAATGCCACACATATATTATAAATATCCATTGCAATAAATGTTGTATTTGACCCACACTTGCCCTTTGAGGCTGGTCACTTGAAGTGCTTCAGAGACACTCATCTACATTCTTATTCATAATACTCACATGGAAATGAATCAATAACCACAATTCAATCAGATCAGAACATACCACTACTGCTGAGCAACTCTTAAAATATATATCTGTTAAAACCAGTTGTCTTATCTTTACCAGTTGTTATTGCCCTAAATAAATATCAGTTAAGAGGTGGAAATTCCTCTTTCGGTCTGTTAACTGGTTTGAATGATGAATTATATTCCTTTACCATCACTTGCCACACTGGCTAAATAGAAATGTTGGCGGTCGATATAAAATAGGAGGAAGTGGCACAATATGTGAGAAGCTAGAACAGAAAGAGGGTGATAACACCTGAAAAAGATTCAGAGAGATAAAAATAATAAATAAAAATAAATGGATTCCCTTTCAACACTTACTTTTTTCTCGTATCTACTTTTTAAATGTTTGTTAGTATCCAGGAGAGCATCCCTAAGTCTTTGAAATGAAAGACTTGGTTTTCTTCATATACTTCTTTTTATAATAAAAAACAAGTCCATCTGTGACAGAATTACTTCATTCATTTGTCTGCTGTTTTTCCAGACAATACACATTTCCCTTTACTTTTTTTCTCTGCAGAATCACTAGCAGACGGTCGTCCCGATAATCATAGTCAATCCAAATCCAATGAAAATCTTGGAAAAAGGCTGACACATATAAACAGACGGGCCTATGAGCCAGTCCACAAATTATTTTACCCCAGGTCCATTTTCAAGCAGGGAGAATGAGATCTTCATGCAAACACCTGCATCTTGCCATTGGGCTCTGGGATTTGAGTAATTTGGGTCTGGGCAGGGCCAGCAACTGCTGGGCTGGGTGTAGAATCTGACCAATCAGAAACACAGTGGGGAGAGGGGCTAGACCAGGGCTCCGGGGACTCTGGGGAAGGGGTCAGGTAGGGGTGCTCACTGGGCAAATGGAGGTAATGCTTGGGCGTGGCATCCAGTGCGGATGAGTAGCTGTGTTGAGAGGGAGGCGTCGGGTAATCCTCCGTTCCAGCATTGCTGCCGCTGGGCTGGGAGGCCACAACCTGAGTGGGCTGGGCTGCTGGCGTGGCTGACTGTGGGGGCTGAGCGGGAGCCTGGGGCTGAGAAGGTTGTTGGGGCATCTGCTGCTGCTGCTGCTGGAAGAAGGATGGTGGAGGCTGGGAGGTCTGGGGTGTTGGTGGGGTAGAGGTGCCCATGCGGGCCATGCTCTGTTGGTTGCTGATGCTGTGGTTGAGAAGATGCTGCTGTTGCTGCTGCTGCTGCTGCTGCTGTTGCTGCTGCTGCTGTTGCTGCTGCTGCTGCTGTTCAGCAATGGAGGGCAGCTTGACCGGGCTGATTGTAGGTGTGGAGGTAACAGGTGTAGGCTGCAGCATGGCATTACGGTAGAGCTGCTGGTGCATCAGCATGTTCTGCTGCTGCATGGCCGGGCTCTGTGGGTGCATGCCTGCCTGGCCACTCTGCACAAGACTGACCACCTGCTGACCACACTGGGAGGAGGGCATCCTGCTGTGCCAGTCAAAGGGTACACTCACAGGACTGACCAAGCCCATGTTCAGCCCCATTTGGCCCGAACTCAGCACATAGCCGTGGTTGACATCTGAAGCCATGGAGACGCGTCCCTGCAAGGACATTGCTCCCACTCCCAGGTCATTGAGTTGCGCTAGAGACACAGCGAATGGGCCACCTCCCTCCAACATGCTGCTGTGTACCATTGGGGTGTTTGGTACAGACATGGACGAGTGGAAGAGCCCTGGTGACTGCATGGCCACAGGAGAAGTGGGGTTGGTTATGTAGCCAGCGTTGCTAGCTCCCCCATGGGGCGAGTCCAGTGAGTCGACCGGAGACAAGGTGACTGAGCTCTCCAGTAAGGCACTCTGCATGTCCAAGGTCAGCTTCTTATTACGGGCCTTGACCGACTCCTTCAGACTGTTAGCATGTTGGCCTGCCAGGTTTGAACCCTTGGCCCCAGGCCGGCGGTTCTTCTTGCCCTGTGGGGTGTTTTTCAGACTAGGTAGGAAGGCGCTGGGAGGGCACATGAGCGGAGACAGAGTGTGTACTCCAGACAGGTGGTGTCCAGTCCCTCCGTGGCCCTGGGGACTCCTTACTG